CCTCTCCTGCCTATCGCCTCCCCTTCCCACCCCCTCTCCTGCCTATCGCCTCCCCTGCCCACCACCTCTCCTGCCTATCGCCTCCCCTTCCCCCGGCCTCCCCTTCCCACCACCTTTCCTTCCCACCGCCTCTCCTGCCTATCGCCTCCTCTGTGCCTATCGCCTCCCCTGCCCACCGCCTCTCCTGCCTATCGCCTCCCCTGCCTATCGCCACCCGTGCGCATGGCCTCCCCTTTCCCGGCCGCCCCCTGCCCACCACAACCGTATTTTTACCTTAACCTATGGCTTATAGAGCATTAGATAGCTGGTCCTTTTTTCCCCATCTGGTATAAAAGGTGTCACACAAATAGATTATAGGCCTACGTATATTTCTCGCATCATAGAACATGGTCATCATAGTGGTACATAGATCATATATGTCTAAGAGCGCAACATTTTACCGTAGGTCATAGGTGGCCTATTGCTGCAAATGTGTACCTGCAGCTAAAACTATAACTGTAAACCTGAAAATGTATACCCACCACTGAAATAAACGTTACAACGAAAATACCCACAGAACCATGCTGTATACCCTGGTGTTCCTGTTGATCTTAACGACCGTGAAAGCGGACGTCGGCGACTGTGTTCAAAATGGCAAGGTGGGTAACTAGATATCAACGTGGGTACTTAGATATCAACGTTTATAACTTGAAATCAACGTAAATAATTGGATATCAAAGTGGAAAACTTGATATCAACGTGAGTAACTGGATATCAACGTGGGTAACAGGACATCAACACGGGTAACTGGATATCAACGCGGGTAACTGGATATCAACCTGGGTAACAAGATATCAACCTGGGTAACAAGATATCAGCGTGGGTAACAAGATATCAACGTGGGTAACAAGATATCAACCTTGGTAACTAGATATCAACCTGGGTAATTAGATATCAACCTGAGTAACAAGATATCACCTGGATAACACGGGTAATTGGATATCAACGTGGGTAACAAGATATCAACCTTGGTAATTAGATATCAACCTTGGTAATTAGATATCAACCTGGGTAACAAGATATCAACGTGGGTAACTAGATATCAACAGGGGAAACTGGATATCAACCTGGCTAACTAGATATCAACGTGGGTAACTACGTATCAACGTCGGTAACAAGATATCAATCTCGGTAATAAAATATCAACCTGGGTAACTAGATATCAACCTGGGTAACTAGATATCAACCTGGGTAACTAGATATCAACCTGGGTAACAAGATATCAACCTGGGTAACAAGATATCAACCTGGGTAACTGGATATCAATCTGGGTAGCACGATATCAACCTGGGTAACTGGGTCACTTTCCTGTCTATCTCTCTGAACTGTTGCTTCCTTACATCCCCACAAGACAACTACGTTCTTCCATTGACAGTAGAACCCTCTCAATCCCAAGAACCAAAACTAAGACCATCGGTGAACGCTCCTTCTGCTTCCATGGGCCCACGTTCTGGAACCAGCTCCCCTTCCATATACGTCATAGTGAAACCTCGTCCATTTTCAAAAAGTCCCTTAAAACTCATCTGTTTAGGTCCGCCTATGACCTGTGATGCACCCTCCTTGCCCTACCTCATTTTCTGTTTCGGGTTGATCCTGAAGTGTCAAAGTGTCCTCGTTTTATAGCCATTTTCATTGTTTCTATAGAATAGTATTTACTATCCTAGTGTCTCATTTGTATTTACTTAGTTTACATGTTTTAATAATTGTAAAGCGCTTAGAGCTTTATGATAAGCGCTATATAAAAATGCCTAAATAAATAAATAAATAAATATCAACGTTGAGTCTAACTGTTCCCCGGGCAAAACGTTTTACTCACCT